GCTTGGGACGTCCCAAAGGTATCAAGATCTAAAGATCTCAGCTGTGTCCTTCAATGAACAGAGTAGAAAAGAGGATTTTGAACTCACCGTAAAATCCTTTTCTCCGATTTCATTGAAGAACACGGCACTCACCCCTCTTTTTGTTGTCTGTGCCCGGTTATTTTTTTGTATACAGCTTTGTGACTAACTCGGCTACCTCTAGAGGATGGGGGGTTTGGCCACTAGAAGTGTTTTTGTTGTGCCTAGTGTCCTACTCCTAAAGGTGGTGCTACAACCCAACTGTGTCAAGATCTAAATATCTCTGTTGTGTTCTTCAATGAACTCAGAGAAAAGGATTTTACGGTGAGTTAAAAAAAAAATCATATTTTTGTCTTTCCTTCACTGTATGCCAATTTGGCCAGCATCATTCCATCTACTTTCTCTGAGCCCATTTTTTCCTCAGTCCAGTCTGTGACTGGACAGTGAAAGGGGAAGCATCACTATGATGTGCTCATCTCTGTCACTCCTTCATCCTCCTTCTGTCAACAAGTTTTGGGCGAGTAAAATATATTCTTCCCTATTTATTAAACAAATATATACCCTGCACCAATATAAACTAAAACGAAGAGAGCTACAAAGCACTCGCATCCCAGATAGCAAGCAATTGAGCTGCAAGTTTGAAAATGACTTGCTAAACTATTGCAGACTTGCCAAGCTTCACAATTTTGTTACACAATTACAGCAAGTCTGCATTGCAAGTCTCCAGACCAGCGAGTTTGCAGAGCTCTTGCTAAGACCTGCAGGACTCTGGCTGTGGACTTGCCAAGCAAATTTGCTACAAATTCAAAAAGTGTGAACTAGAACTTGTGCTGCAAGTGTTCTGCAAGTCTACAACTTGCCAGGCATATGCGCACCAAGTTAACAAAATTACAATTTCACCCTGCCACAAGTTTGCAGCAAGTTATCCTTGCTATCTGGGATGTAGACCCAAATAAGTGATACTCTGCATGAAACACAATAGGACAATATAGTGCCAAGCTACAATCAAAACAATGGGACTATACACTGAGTGGCCAGATTATTATGACCACCCCATCAGTACTTCGTTGGGCCACCTTTTGCCTTCAATACTGCGGCGATTCTTCTTGGCATTGACTCCACGAGATGTTGAAAGGTGATGCGAGGAATCTGACACCATGCCTGATGAATAGCACTGTCCAGTTCTGTGAGATTTGATGGTTCTGGAACCAACTGCCTGATGGCTCTTTCAACTTCGTCCCACAAATGCTCAATTGGATTGAGATCTGGAGATTGTGGGGGCCACCTAAGCAAGGTAAATTCTCCCTCATGTTCTTGAAACCACTCCTGCACAATACGAGCACCGTGGCATGGCGCATTGTCTTGTTTGAAGAAGCGATCTCCATTGGGATACGCCATCAACATGATAGGATGAACTTGATCAGCAACGATACTTTGGTATGTTGTGCTATTCAGACGTTGTTCCACACGAATTAAAGGGCCCAAATCATGCCAGGAAAACATGCCCCAAACCATAACACTGCCCCCACCAGCTTGAAGGATTGTACTCATGCATGTGGGGTGCATGCTTTCATGCTGTTTCCGTCAAATTCTCACTCTGCCATCTGCATGATACAACTGGAAACGTGATTCATCGGACCACATGACTTTTTTTCCAATGCTCGACTGTCCAATCCTTGTGTTCCTGTGCGAATTGGAGACGGTTTATCTTGTTAACTGCAGACAGCAAAGGTGTTCGAACAGGCCTTCAGCTTCCATATCCCATACGATGCAGTGTACAGCGTACAGTGCGTTCAGATATCATTTGAGAGGATCCCTGATTAAGATCTGCAGTAATTTGATGCACTGTTGCCCTTCTGTTGTCTTGTACCAGTCTTGCCACTCTCCTTTCTGCCCTAACATTGACTAGTCGCTGACGGCCACAATTCGCACGTTCAGACCCAGATTTTCGGCTGACAGTGCAGTCTTTAAACACTTTAACGGGCGGACGGCAAGAGGTTAAAAATACTTAGAGTATGCAGTGATAGAGCCCAAAGAAAACACAGCTCGAACTGTGAGCTCTTCCGAGCTGCTTCACCTCCATTCATTACCACGTCTGAGAACTCCGCCCCAAGGCACTTTTCATCAATCAAGACCTCATTAGGGGAAATTCTCTGGACTTGGGCAAACAGCCTGTATGAGTCAGAGAATGAGACGCACAGACAGTTTTTTAATTTTTTTTATAGCAGTCAGCCCTTGCTACACAATATTATGATTAGCGTGCACAGCTCGCTTTGTTGCATACCTGTGTGTCCCACAGAACTGGCATGTACCGCTCTTTCTATAGCGTGATTGGCCAGCACAATCCCCCCTGCTTTTTGATTGGCCAGTGGGTGGAGTTAGAGAATACCCTACCGTTCTGCTCCCATCACACTGGGTAGGCGGGTTTTGATTCGGTCGCATATTGTATTCCTGTGGTAACCTGAAATGCTTTCCTTTTAATTGGCTGACATGTTTCCTTGACAAAATGCTTCTACATGATTGGCTGTGGGGTTCTTTTTCTGCACATGAGGACTGGTCTCTGATGGGCTCCGAAGAGGGGGCGTTGCTCCGGAAACACGTTAGCCTAGGGCTGTGTTTGCTGTTTAACTGGCATTCCAGTCAGCTGGATGCTCACACATGGATTCAGTGTGTAGAACATGTGGAATTTGGCTAAACTCCCAGTCCTGTGTCATGGATCTCTATAGAAAGCCTGTATACAAAAGAGTTTGTGAGTATCTTTTCTACTTTGGTTTTATATGAATAAAGGGATACTTCACAAGGGAAGGTGCTCTTTCTGGGTTCTATTTTCAGATACATAATCAGTAAAGTTTTCCCTAACTGATGAGGTGCTGCCCCCTAGGGGTACGATTTCTATGTTGTGGTCCATAGCAATGGCTCCTTGTGGTGGATGAGCAATGATTTTTTGTGAGTTGTACACTAGGTGTTCTAGGATTTTGGAACTAAAGAGGAACAGGGAGATGGGTTTTCTGTTTTAGACTGGTGCAAATCCTTTTGAGTATGGGGCTTACCAGTGCATATTTTAGAGGGGGAGAGTTGAAAAATGTTAGAGCATAGGACAGAGTAAGAGGGTCACTTGAGTAGTTGAGGGAATCTACCTCCGTAGTGATGGGGCCAAAAGAGGAAAGTAGACTGCCTGACTCCCGGTTCCTGAGTTGACATTCTCCAGTGACTGGATAGTTCTCTACACCCATATCCCTGCTGATTCATGGCATTCTAACACCCCACCCCTTTTTTTTTTTCTTTATACTTTTTTTTTTCTTCTTTTGTGAGTTATAGACATGGCATACTTACAAGTGGTCACTTCTCAATTCAAACTGATTTATTGGTCTCTCTGGCCGCACATGCAGCTTGTTCTTACATTTGCCTGTGCCTTTGACGTCTATGCCTCTTCAGTGTGCTATGTGTACTGTATATTCTATTGGAGTATAGCTTCCTTTACTGCACTGTTCATTTTCCTGGAAAATTAAAATTTAGTCTTAGACTTAGTTTTTTGGTTAAAATGCCGTTGTAGTTTTAGTCGACTAAATATCCAGTAGATTTAGTCCACTAAATCTAATGAGTTTAAAGTGTAATGCATTATTTAACCCCTTCATGACTGAGCTTGTTTTTGTTTCTGTTCGTAAATGACTGACACACTTTTGACATTTTTGCTGTGTGATTCTTCCACGTCAGTAATATACCTTCTTACAAAGTGCACCCACACATATTATATATTGTTTTTTAGAGGACAGATAGACACACATATGTGATATAAATATATAGCCCTAACGCCTCACTTAGGACAAATACAAATTAAAAAAAGAGGAAAAAACGTAAAAAAAAACTTTTTTTCCCAGTTTTGATTTGTAGTATTTTTTTTTAACAAAACCAGCACAGCTAAAACAAAAATGCAATACATACATTCATTTATTTGTCCCTTATTTTTAATTTTTTTACACTTTTCACTTTTTTTAAATTTATTTACACTTTTCACTTTTTTTATACTGACAAATTTTATTTATTTAATTATATCAGGCAGTCATTGTGAATTAATCTCACTATTACTGCTTGATAAATTAATACATTTTTTTTTATTATCAGGCTGCTTCAAACTTCAGAACAGCCGATAATAAGTTAGTGACACTGATCCTGCAACAGTTCAGGATTCAGCTGTCAGTGAATGTTTCAGAAAACTTAAACATTCTACTTTCAAGAATAGATACATTATGTGTCTAATACATAACATTTTGTATCTATTCTTGAAAGTCAAAAGATAAAAAAAAAAAAAAGCCAGTATAGCTTGAGAGAGATATCTCTCGATCTATACGAGCTGTCAGAATGCCGGCAAAAGCCGACATGTGTGTCTGCTTTGCTCCCAGAAGTAGGATGGGGGAGGCTTATTGGATAAGGCTTGCATTCATAATCATGAGGCAGCTAAAACAGAACTAGCCTTATGACTAAACGTTCAGTGCAAAATGCATCAAGGCATTCTGGACTACCAGTAATATGTGCAACTGCTTAAACATAAATCTCCTGGACTCTTGAAGTGCTGTGTGAACCCTGAGATTCTTTATTTAAAAAAATGTGTGTCCCTTCTCTTCCTGACCAGGTGACACCTTGGGTATAACTGTGTGCAGACCTCTTTAAAGTGCTTTTGCCATATACATTGTTTGTAGAACACACTGGTCATTTGTTTCCAGTCCACAAAAAGAATGGGTTATATTTTATGAGAGGTTTGTTTGCGTTGTTAATGATATCAGTTAGCTGTGGTAACATATGGCTGTGTAGTATGGCTATCATAAATCATGACTGACTTTTACACATTGCCTAGTTTTGTTTAAATCAGCTGTTAGTCAAAAGATAATTATACTGTCATTTTTGTGTTTTCAGTTCTAAAACATTAATGGATATTCTTCAGTATTTGTAGACCTACTAAAATCAAACTCTTATGTTTATTCAAGGAGTTACGAGAACATTGTGAAAAGAAAAAGCGTGTACGGGCACAGGAAGAAGATGCAGAAGGCACTTTTGGAGTAAGAAAAAAAATTGCTGGAGGAAAATTGAAAAAGAAAGTTCACTGACTGGGAAAATGAACTAATAGTTTTAATGTGCTAGCAAAAGTAAACTTTGCATAGGTGTTAAATAAATGTATTAAAATAAAATATATTAGTAGATGTGTGTGTGTGTGTGTGTGTCAGTTATGTGATGAAAATGTGAAAATTCACTTATAAGATGTAACTCTTCTGCTTTTCTTCAGTATTTTTATTATTTCCAAAGAAGCAAAATGACTATGTGCACCAACATTGGCACTAAAAACAGTACATAGGGTTTGCGTAGTGTTAGCAACATTTTCAGTATGGTATGTCATTACAGATTCACTAACACAAGTTCAAAAGTTATACCTTTTGGTTTACAAACAATGCAAAGAAAAGGAGAATGAGGGGTGGGGGGCCAGATGAACAGGTGATGGGGAAGGTCAAGGGGCTATAGGGGTTTTCAATCCCAGATGGGCCCACCGGCCGTTGCAAAACCTAGTCCCAGCTTAGGTACCCATGGCCCTATGTAGGGAGCAGCCACAGTAGTGTGTGGTCAAAACCCTGAGGTAGGTATTTGTTTATGCAAGGTCACGAAACCTTTAATATATTTAGCAATCCACTATCAATATAAAGTACAGATGTGTCTTGCTGCCCTCCTTACCGGTTTGTAGTTTAATATGTAGTCCAGGTGGGTGCTTGTAATGACCACAGATCACATAGAATTCAAGAATGTCACCACCAGCACACCAAAGGTTAAGTGAAATCAGTCCATTTAATGACAAGACAATGTCATCCATATACATTTTTGAGAATGTCGGAACTATTGGGGCAAAAAGGAATCAATTTAAAGGCTTATACATATTATTTTACATATTTTTATATGGTCATCTAGGAAGCCATTTTGTCTGTCTGTCATGAGGTGAATGCATGTTCATTCTTCCTAGTTGAAGACTCTTACAGAAAATTTGAAGGGCCTTACCACATATACATTCCCAGGTAGTAAATTGTGAGGCCCAGACAACCAACACAAGATAAGCACTGTACATGGTGCCAGACGGTGTTATAATGAGATTGATGCTGCCACAGAATAGACCACCGTATTATATTTATGGTTTTGTCCAAGGTCTAGGTCAGAGGTTATCTTTAAGGAATAATATTGGCATTATAGGCAAGTCCAAAATTGTTGTACAGTCCAATAGTGACCCCTTTAGGTGATTGCAAGGATGAGGTACATAGTAAAATGAGGCCCCATTTGACGTATTATGCAAAAGACAAATCCACACCCACATTCTTTGGGGGATAAAAGTTTGGAACAGGAGATTGAAAGGGAAATCCAAAAGAAAAAGCAGAAAGGAAGTACATACCAAGGGTAAAGGACGGAAGCTGATGACGGCTGACCAAGGGAACTGAACTAAAGAGAACCTGACCATCACATTCCTCCAATGATACGAAGCTGACATCTCTCAGACAAAGATTTGGCAATTTTTGGTAAAGTATACATTTCTATCTTTCTGTGGGCAAATTGACTAGCCTATATATCTAACTAAACCATTTAGTCCTCGTAGCATATAGATTGAATTGAGATAATTTTAAACTGCAGTATAAATTATCTTTCAATCTTGGGGAGAAAAACACAAATATGTATAAGCTCCTGGAAGCTGATTTTAGTTTCTAGTCAATGGTCTTGGATAGTGTTGGCTTATAGCCAGTCCTATGCATGGTGTCACAAATTTTGCCCATGTGCTGTTAAAGTAGAATTGGAGCTTGAGGATATCTGTTGTCTGAGATAAATCACGTGTCAAATCTGCACATTTAATTTCCTTATTCTGTGAGCTACTAAGAAGCTACTCATTGCATTTAAAAAGTGATTTCAGGTGGCCAAGCGGTGGAGCTGTAAAGACGCTCGTGTTCAGAGCTCTGCTCCCTGGCGCACCAGCTAAAGCAGACTGACTGCATTAGACCCTACCTGATCCTCATGTCTAGAGGTCGGAAGACGTCCCGAACCGGTAAGAAGTCGTACCGGCGCACGATCCCCGGGTATTTTACGCCGGCAGCCCCGAGTCCCGCTGCGGCCTCCCCACAGCACATGGAGCCGAGCGGCCATATTGCGCCGCACGCGGTGGATATCTCCAGTCCAAGGTGGCTGACTCAGGGGAGATCCTCCCCTACCTCTGCAATGTCGGAGCCAAATGCATCCCCGCGGCTGAAACGGACTATATCCCCTGTACCAGATGGGACACCGCACATGTCCCCAGAGCTGGCTTCAATACTGGGGAAGATCTCAGGGCAGTGCTGCAGTCCCTGGCCACTAAAGAGGACATTAACCACCTCGCCCAGAGGGTGGAGGGCACGCTGCGCAAGGAGATAGCAGGGGTAGTTCAGACGGTCTCCCATCTAGAGGAAAGGGTCACGGCTTCTGAAACCTTGCACACAGCGCTGGCTGAACGTGTTGCGGCCCTCGAATCTGCCGCGGGGACGCAGGGCCGGGCCTATGCACTACTCTATCTTAAGGTGGACGACGGCGAAAATAGGAACCGCCGCAATAACATTCGTCTGGGGGGTGTACCTGAGTCGACCGTGGGAGCTGATCTCAGATCCACAGTACAGACAATCCTCAACCTGCTCCTGGACAGAGATCCTGAGACCCCTATAGAAATGGACAGGGTTAACTGCCCAAGAGGATCTGACCGCAACTGTGCCGGATTCATTTCTTCGTCCAGCCTGGCTCAAAAAATCTGTGGATTTTGATGGTGCAGCGATTACTATTCTCCCTGACCTATCAAGACATACCCTCTTCCTGTGGCGGCTGATCCGACCATTGCTTGCGCAGATTTCCTCAGCTGGAACTACCTATAAGTGGGGACACCCTTTCCACTTGCAAATCCAGAAGGCTGGGCAGAACTTCCTCCTGATGACACCGTGAGAAGTTTACGGCTAGCGTCCGTCATATCTAGCTCCAGCCATAGAGTTTCCACGTCTTCCCCATTATTTGACGTGATATCGTCCCTTATATGCACATATAGATTATTTTTTACGTAAATGCAAACACCCCCCCCTCTTCTCCCACCTCTGTCCCTCCTAAACAGGTTATACCCCTCTATATTAGTAGCCCAGTCATGCGTGCTGTCCAGCCAGGTTTCCGCTATACCCACTATGTCGAAGTCCTCTTCAATTAACCTAATTTCAAGCTCCTCTATTTTATTTGCCAGACTTCTAGCGTTGGTGTACATACATTTCATTCCTCTCTTTTTGTGGGACAAAAGTTTACTACCTTGTTGTTCCCCACCATAGAGGGAGCTAGTCAAAATACGCAGCCAGCTTGCCCTTACGCTAATAGCGTATCTTCTCAGAAGCTGCACACAGCGTGCGCCAGATTAAGCAGTTACCAGCATGCTCTGTTGCACCCTCTGACAGCATGGGAGACGTGAGGCTGCGTTTGTCGGTGCATCTAGGGATCAGGTGAGTATTAAAAAAAATTGTTTTCAATTATATATATAGATATTTTGGTGAGAGAGAGAGAGATCTATTGTTTTCCGAGCCCGGACCCTACGAAGCTTGGCAAAGGAAAGGGCAGCACGACCCGTGGACGAGTCGAGACTGGGTTCCAGGGCCATGTTGAAATCCCCACCCACTATCACCATGCCCTCCGCGAAAGCCTCCAGATCCTGTAGGAGCCTGAGCGCGGATGCAGCATGGTCAGTATTAGGGAGATAGAAGATAGCGATGGTGTAGGTCCGACCCCAAAGTGACAGTTTAAGCCATTGGTAGTTCCCAAATTCGTCTGCCCTTTGGTCTACAACCACTGCTGGAAGAGATTTGTGGATAGCAATAGAGACCCCCCGCGACTTTTGAATGGCATTGGTACTATGGTACCAGGATGTGAAATACCGATTGGTACATGAGGGAGCGTGGTCAGTCTGGAAATGCGTCTCCTGAAACAGGGCAATGTGCACCTGGGCCTTGTGCATATGGTACAGGATCTGCCCCCTTTTGGAAGGGACATTCAGACCCCTGGCGTTAGAGGTGCAGCTCTGCGGGGGCAACTACAGGTGTGGCCATGGCAGAGAGTGTGGGCAGAGAGAGAATAGAAACAAGTCAGAGAGCTAGGGTAGAGGAGGCAGGGCCCCGGAGGGCAGAGACGGGAAGAGCCCCAGATGAGTATATAGGAGAAAATGGAGGAGTAGAAAAAGATAAAGCGGGAGTAGAACAAGAAGGAGAAGTGAGGAGGTAGGGGGGTAGATGAGAAAAGTAATATAAACGATACAGGAGAGGAACAGACAAAGAAAAAAAAAATTTGATACAAAACTACAGTAAAAGGGCAGCAGGAGCCGCTACGGGAAATACAAGCTTCTAGCTAAAGCTAGATTACAACAGTCTCCAATAGGAGACGTAATACCTACGTGGGGAGAAGTGGTTGAGAATGAAGGAACGAGATGCCTACCGGGGCCCAAGTATGAAAACTACATAAAACAATGCAACCGGTTTCGACACTCACTAGAACTAAGCATAACATAATTTCAATCCCACAGACTTCTTGCAGCGTGGGGGCAGGGAGTCAATCCGGGGTACGCCATCCCCACGTCCGCGACCCCCCCCACAATCGGGGAGAGTGCCAACAAGAGGACAGCGGACCCTTCCCACCCTAGTCCAAGGTAGGGGGGAGCGTCCAGCTGAGCTATCCGTGTC